TATATCTGCAGAAGATACAGCTCGACTCTTCTTCTCTCATGTCGTCAAATATTGGGGCCTGCCCAAAGACATTCTTAGTGACCACGACTCACGCTTCACTAGCAACTTTTGGACCCAACTCTTCAAGTGCCTTGGGTCAAAATTGAGTCACAGCTCAAGTTTTCATCCGCAATCTGATGGCCAGACGGAGCGGTTCAATGGTATGTTGGAGGAATATCTCCGCCACTTTGTAACCGGATCGCAGAAGAATTGGGTGAAGCTTCTGGATGCTGCTCAACTGTGTTTCAATTCACAAAAGAGCTCTAGTACCAACAAAAGCGCTTTTGAAATTGTTACCCGACAGCAACCGCTACTCCCACACACTATGAATGCACCAAACATGGCTAAATCTCCTCGAGCTTCCAGCTTCTCAAAAGAGTGGAGGCGGAATTTGGAGATAGTGCGGAGCTACCTTGTCAAAGCCCAAAAGCGGATGAAGAGGTATGCTGATCAGAATCGTCGCTTTGTTGAATATCAAGTAAGAGACAAAGTGATGGTCAAAATTCCAAAGCGGTACTTATTTGCAGGGGTCCATGACCCTCGCCTATTGCAAAAATACATTGGACCCTTGTCCATTGAAAAGCGTATTGGGAAGGTTGCATACCGGGTGGATACCCCAGCTTGGTGGAAAATTCATCCTGTCTTCCATGTCAGTCTCCTGAAACCTTTTCGGGAAGACACGGAGGATCCTTCAAGGAGCCAGCTCACAATACCCAGTATTCGAGGTCCCAATTCAACTGGGAAAAGGCGTGTTGAAGCTATCCTTGATGACAGAGTGATTCATGCCTCAAGGAAAGATCACCAAGAGTTTTTGGTGAAATGGCAGGGCTGTGATGCAGAAGAGAATACTTAGGAGAGGGGAACAAACCTCAAAGCCTACAAGAGCCTCATTGAAGATTATTTTGCAAGTAAGGCGCCGAGGACGTCGCCAACTCAGGTGGGGGAGAATGTCATGGGCGGCTTTCCAGCCATGCCCCATGACCCCTTGGGCGCGCCCCGTGGCGTCCTAGCAAACCTCCCAATGCCTAGCGCCACGGACGGCCCTGTGGTCTTGGCCGCGCCAAGTGACAAGCGCGCAGGTGCCTCTGTCGCCCCACCGATATCCCTCGCGAGCGCCAAGCCGCAGGCAGAAGCCAACAGCGCCGCGCGAGCAGACAACGCCGCGCGTGCAGGCCGTGATGCCAAAGACACTGCTGCTGACAACGGACCTGCTGTTGCCTTATAGAAAACTAAGTCATTTTCATTGTAAATATAGAGTAGTTTATTTCATGTACTTCCATTATGTTTCTCTAGCTTAGTCAAGTCTAGTCTTGTAACTTTGGATTATTTTTTTTAAGTACTATTAGGGGGGATCAAGCAATCAAAACTTTCTAGCAAGCAAGCAATTCTCTGTACTGGTGTTTCTCCCCCTCGACACCGCGTTGCTTTTCTGTAATAGCTTTCATTAATGCAATCAAGCTTTCTTTCATTCTGAATTCTCATTTCTGTTCTCTCAATTGCTCTTGACATTGGTTTTCCCGTACGGCACTGACAATCTCGTCTAGCGTACGGAGGGGACCTCAGTTGGCGGACAGCAACTGCACTGACATCAGTTGCCTAGCCTTACGTCGCCCTTCCAAGGAATCTCAGGAAGGCGCCGCGTAACAGTATATTTGTACAGTCAGACCTCTCAATAACAACATACAATATCTCTATATAATAATCATTCACTATAAAAGCTAGATTTTTTGGGATTTAATATGTTATGTTATAATATTCTCTATAACAGCACTTCACTATAGCAACCAAAAAATATCGGAATAAACGAGTCTATTACAGAGAGGTTTGATTGTATATTAATAACACTTGGGAATGAATATCCATTAATGTGCATTACAGATTTTGAAGGGGAAAAGAATTTAAAATAAATTGATATGGATGGATTAGGTGAGAGAGAAAATCTTCATAGAAATATATTAGGGATATAAAAAATTTTATAATCAATTAAAATGTAATAGTTTAAAATAAATTGTATATATGTAATTTTTTAAAAGTAGTTGTATTTCTTTATTTATTGAAAACATACTTTAGTATATAAAGTACTAATAAATAGCAAATACAAGGACATATTTGGAAGAGCAAATCCTTTTGATTGGCAAGCTAATAAGATAGTTATATTTCTTTGATATCAAGACTGGTATTTTTTGGAAGAGTGTTGTATCTATTTTGGTATCGTCAAATTAGGGGTGTACAAACCGAACCGGAAAACCGCACCAAACCGAAAAGTCAAACCAAACCGATTAAAAAGCTCGACTAGATTTGGTTTGATTTGGTTTGGTATTGAGTAAAAAAACCCGAACCAAACCGACATATAAATATATAATTTTTATATATACTTTTAAGACTTTATATAGAATTTTCTTTAATAAAAATTCTAAAAATATTTGNTAATATTTAATAGAATATGAAGTACTCCATTTTTACTAACCTTAAATAATGGGTTATATGATCACTTTCTTATCAAGTGTTACTGAAATACGTCAATTTCTTTGTTCTTCCTTGTTCATATATCAAGATTTATTAAATTCTTATATCTTTTTCAAATTTGAAGTGGTATTTTGATAATCTAAAATTAAATAGAACTTATCATTAATTAGGTATTATGTAGATTTTTATGTTTAATTATCAAAATTCATTTAACCTTATAAGTATACATCAACGAAAAATTATTGTCAGAGGACTAAAAAATTAACTATCATGTGTTATTAACAAAATGCTACCATAAAAATATTTAAATAGATCATATGTTTGTCAAGTTTTTCAATTTTTACTAAACATATATTTACTTATAAAAAGTTTAACAAATTAAGATTGAAATAATATTCACATAACTAAAAAAACCCGAAAAACCCGAAAAATCCGACAAAACCGAACCAATCCAACCCGATATAGTTGGTTTGGTTTAGTTTTAATAAAAACCGAACCAACCCGGTCCATGTACACCCCTACGTCAAACAAGACTAGCCTTAGCATTAAGAGTGCCTTTATTCTCAACTTAAAATACTAACAAAGGCAGATTCTATCCTTTTACTTTTTCTTTTCTCTTTTACTTTTTTGTTCATTTCTTTTTCTTTCTTTATTAAAAAAAAAAAAGAGAGACCGGAGAGAATAGAATAAAGAACCAAATGTCAATCAAGTTATCAATAAACATCTCTAAATAGAGTTTCAAACCCAATAATCACAACAATTGCTTTGTTTCACAAACAAATACTCAATGAAACTGGGAAAAAAGTTAAGAGAAATAGTAATATATCATTTCATTTGAAATTGATGCACAAAATTAATTGATTTAGCTTCCTATTTAAAAAAAAAGTAACAATAACAACAACATTAGTAATCACGCTTCAATCTTGGGATCTGTGATATGGATCCCAACTTCTTCAGTTAAGCATAATAATAATAATAATAATAATAATAATAATAATAATAATAATAGAAGATCTTTAACAAGAGTAAAATCTATTCTCAACTTGTAGATATCACCTATATAGACTCTTTTTTAATTTGTATCCTATCTTTAGCTAAGTCAATGTTGATTCAAAGGAATTATAAGTCTTGCGTGACAACTCACTTACATGTGATTTTAGGTCTACCTCGTTCTCTTTTATCCTTTACTCACCATAGTTTCACACCTACGGACCGATGCATATGTAGGTCGGCGTAGAACATGACTAAATCATCTTAAGCACAATTTTCTCTTATTTTATCCTCATGTGTGTTACTTGCATCTTCTGATGAATATGATCATTTTTTATCTTATCTCATATTGTATGACCGCACATCCATCTTAGTCTCCATGATATTCGGCCAAAAATGTATATATTTACTCATTGTTGCCTCAAATTTTGGTATTTTTAATCGTGTGGAGAGCCCCCTTAATCGAAAGTTTTCCCTTACTATATATAGTCGAGGCACCCTTGCCCTTTACTTGGTCAGATGCCCTCTTGCCTCCAATGTGTCTTGGTCGTGCTTTTAGGCGCTGCTCTTTCCGACTCGACGGATATCGTGAACGGGATGCAGAGTGGGCTGTATTATCTTTCACTGCCCGATCACTTAGGCGGGACGTTGGTTGGTTCGGCCGTGACTGTCAGATTTTGACCAATACAGTTACATTCTGTCATTGATATACATGACCCTCCGAGTGAGGAGGAGTAAAAAATAAGAAGAATTCCCTCTACGCTTCTTGAGAATACTAGTGCAGATCAAGATTATGGCAAGTACTATGAGCCCCATGTGGTTTCCATTGGTCCAATACACCATGGAAAAACTCATCTTCAAGCCATGGAGAAGTTAAAACGGAAAGCACCGAGGGAATTAGCAGGAAAAGTATCCATTCAGCACGCCTATGCAAGTGTTGAACAGGACTTGCTCAGCGCTCGGAATTGTTACTCTTCTAGTCATTCCGAATGTTATGCTAACGACCGTGACTGGTAATTGATGTTGTTCCTTGACGGCTGCTTTATTATTGACTTCATCCACAGTGGTTGCTGGAAGAGTCTGAATATGAAGAAACAGTCTGATAGAGATTTGTTGTGTCGTGACCTTTTATTGTTCGAAAATCAATTGCCTTTCAAGCCTCTACATGTGTTAGCACGCGCATTTGCATTTACTGAGGATCATTTGCTAGACCTTACCGGGCGTTTCCTCCTTAACCAATTGTTAACAATATCCCCTCATCTCAGATTGATTATGATAGATTACGATATCTTTATATCAAATAAGGGTCAGTTTTTATTTTTAATGTCTGATTTTGCTATTTAAAATGCACCAAGAAGCAGAGGATGAGCAACATCACTTATCTTAAGTTTGCCAACACTGACTAAATTTTTAAACAATGCCATCACAAATGGTTGCCATTCCTAACTTCCTACGCTTAAGTATAACACGATATAACCTTTGATTGGTCAGTAGTAAGTCAACCCTGATGAGGAAAAATGTCCATTACAACCATTTAAAAGTACAGACAAGATATTAGAATTTAGAATGGAAACATCTGAAACTATTAACAAACAGCATATATACTATCCCAAGTTTTATTTTTCAAGTTTCCTTCCTCAGAAATATTCACAATTTTTCATATTTTATCACATCACTTTGCTCATATTCTATATGTGCATCAGAGGGACTCTGCAAATTGAGGAGCTCCTAAGTCAAGCTCTTGTTTCATTATGCAGCTCATAAACCAATCACTACTGAAAGTCCAAATTCCTTTCTTCACCGCTGACAGTGCTTCATCCATGTCTTCTTCACATGCAACGAATATCGTTTTAGAATAGTCTTTCACTTGATCTAGTCCATGTATAACCTAAGAATTTGGTAAGAAATGACATCAAATAATGCAGGGAAAATAGATGGTAAAAGAAAAGGAGAGAAAGTGCAAGTTTGACATGATTTTGGAAAAATATTAACGGCATTATGAATATTCTGAAAATTTCTTGCTCATGAAGTAAATATTAACTCACATTTCCTCCTGCAGATTTTACAATGGCTGATAAGGTACCAACTGGAGGATGAACATGAGCTGCAAGATGTATGTCATACCCCTTGAGCAGAGCTTGGGGGTATGTTTTTGCTCTAATAACTGCCCCTTTAAGCTTAGTTTTGTACTTCAGTTCATAGTCTTCATCCCTCAAATTAAATGGCATTTCATCTGAAAAAATCAAACAGGGACTGATTAACAAGTCTCAATAGTCCAATTAAGGTCAAACTTAACAGTTTTTACCCACCTATAAATTTGCCAGTGCGGACACTTTCTTTCAACCAACTTGGTGACAGTATCCAAGCTCTGACCGCATTTCCACGAGACCAAAACAAGAACACGTGCAATCAAATTCTAGAGTCTAGCTACTTACAAGAATTTAGGTTACAAATACAGAAGATAGAAGTGAATGGACGACGTATTGTCTATATGTTTAGAAAAATAAGACAGTATATATAACATTCAAAAAAAACGGACATTTGGATAGTATCTTAACTTTTTGGCACTATGCTGCATTATTTCCAGCCATGACAGTCCTACATATTTTACTAAAAGCACAACAACCAAAATCATCCTATCAAAAATTTAAATAGATGCAGACCTAGATTTTCACATAGGTTTGGAACATTTTATGTACATTTTGCATAAAATGTTCCCTAATCTCTTACTTGCACGTGCTGCGACAATTTTGCACACTCTTAAGATGTCCATCTCGTAGAACAAGAACATTGCTTCAGAAAAGCCTGGCTTTCGCTTTCATTGAATCCCATAGGTCCGCGCTTGCTGCTCCCAGCAACACAATCTCCAGGTTGATAGTCTTGACAATCTTGAAAGAAATACAGAAATGAGAATAGTGATACACATTGAAAGATATGTAGAAGTCGCAATATGCTCTAAACTTATTTTTTTTCTTTTGAATTCAAAGTAACTAAAAATAATGTTGATGCAGCCAGACATTTAAGGGTCATAAAATTACCAAATTTACCCTGGAGGTAGTAATTATTTTGATGTGTGCAGGGAAGTAATTGTTGCAAGGATAAATAACCGAGCGGCAAGCATGGAGTTGATACAAGATGAAAATTAATGTGGTAGTTCTGTGAATTAGCAGATGCGGTATTAGCTTCACTTACCGAAGTAGTTAGAACCGATGCTTTTAGTAACCTCATTTCTGTACTGGGAATGGTCATTTCCATCAGACACAGTTTCTCTTTGTTCTTGAAGAACTGGAGATTGGCAATCCTCTCCTGAAGGCTTTAAGGGAAATTTGAGACTTAGATACACTGCAGAATCGTGTAAGTTGTCCTTGTTGAAATGAGAAATCATGAGATATGAACCACCAGGAAAACACAATGCTTTCTGAATATCAGCCTTAACGGGGAGCCTGCGAGCTCTGCCTTTCGTGTCAACTTGACCAATAACTGAAAAACCCTACACGTATTGCTTATTATCATGAAGTGTAGGAGCAACAGAGAAAGCATGTGAATAGCCACTATCAATGCACCTATTTGATTTGTGTTATCCGTATCTAAACTATACATGAGAAATACAGAGGGATTTATCATAAGGTAAATACCATAATGCATTTTGACATATTTTGTTTTTAGCTTGATAAACAACAAAAACAACTACCCAGTAAAATCCCACCAGGTGGGGTCTGGGGAGGGTAATGTGTACGCAGACCTTACCCCTACCCGATAGGGCAGAGAGGCTGTTTCTGATAGACCCTCGGCTCAAAAAAACGAAAATAAAAAACAAGAAAACAAGAAAAGACAACTCGTTAGTAACTCCAATATAAACTATAATAGTAACGAAAGCATAACAACCAAAAGATGAAAGACATGCAATAACAGTAACCAGTATCTAAGGCTCAGGGCTAAGATAAACAGCAAGTACTGAGTGTATTCAGCATAAATTGCAAGCTATCTACGACCAACCCTAATCCAACCCCGCCTCACCCCCGGAATAAGGTAAGGAAAGTTCTACTACCCCTAACCTACAACCCTAATGCTTGACCTCCAGACCTTCCTATCAAGGGTCATGTCCTCGGAAATCCGCAGACGTACTATGTCCTGCCTGATCACCTCCCCCCAATACCTCTTAGGCCTCCCTCTACCTCTTCTCGTACCCACCACGGCTAACCGCTCACATCTCCTTACCGGTGCATCAAGGCTTCTCCTCTGCACGTGCCCGAACCCTCTGAGCCTTGCTTCCCGCATCTTGTCATCCACGGGGGCCACACCCACCTTCTTCCGAATAACTTCATTCCTAATCTTGTCTATCCTAGTGTGCCCGCATATCCACCTCAGCATCCTCATGTCTGCTACCTTCATCCTCTGGATATGGTTGTTCTTAACCGGCCCACACTCTGCCCCATACAACATGGCCGGTCTAACCACAGCTCTATAGAACTTACCTTTGAGTGGCAGTGGCACTTTCTTGTCACACAGAACTCCAGATGCAAGCCTCCATTTCATCCATCCTGCCCCTATACGGTAAGTGACGTCCTCGTCGATCTCTCCGTTCCCCTGAATCATCGACCCAAGGTACTTGAAGCTATCTCTCTTCGGGATAACCTGTGGTCCAAGTCTCACGTCCCTACCTACTTCCCTCGACTCCGCGCTAAACTTACACTCCAGGTACTCTGTCTTAGACCTGCTCAATTTGAAACCCTTGACTCGAGGGTCTGTCTCCAAACCTCCAATCTCTCGTTAACACCGTCCCTCGTCCCATCAATTAGAACTATGTCATCAGCAAATAACATACACCATGGAACATCCCCTTGAATATGGTATGTCAATGCATCCATCACCAAGGCGAATAGGAACGGGCTAAGCGCAGAGCCTTGGTGTAATCCCATAACAACCGAAAAATGCTCCGAGTCGCCTCCCACAGTCCTAAAAATATGAAACTTACCTTAAATAGCATGCTTTTGGGAATCTTTTATACATATTTACTAATGTATTATATTCTACAACCAGCCATGATTGGTTATAGTTCAACCCTATACAAGCATTATTGGAGGTTTACCTGCTTAAGCCAAAATAGTTCAGACTCCTTATCTCCCCAGCAAAGTACGGTTCGAACACCCACACCTTGCAATCTTTTCCTCAGCTCCATATAGCTTAAGTGACCAATCCCCAGCAACTCAAGGTGTTAATGTTGTCCCAAGTTACTATACCATTGAACATTATCTATTAGGAAATTTGTCAAAACTAATGCATTGCAGATGTTTAAAAGCGTAAAATGTTAGGATTTTTCAGACTTTAAAATACTTGTTGAATAGTTATGAAGGAATTGTTGAATGGATACACTTATTTGGTTAATTTGGGTCTGCAATAATCATATCTCTTATAAAGAGCAGAGAAGAGCACATAAAGAATAAAGAGGATGAAAAATTTAACAAGTTTAACAGAAACGCTACATCTATGTTTCTCACAAAATTCATAGTTCTAGAAGAGAGCATTAATATTTGCAATTTTGCACTCATATCTCTTGAAGCACGAGAGAAATGCTACAGTCGTAATCCAGTATGTGAATCAAAGCGACAATCAGAAATCAACATAAAAATCATATTAATGCTAGGGAACAACTAGTGAACCTTGAGTTGGTACACCGATTTAACAGACGCAAGAGGAACCTCAGCAATTTGCATATCAGCTGGAACTATTTGATAAGTCATTGCAGCAATGACCTTGACAATAAAAAGATAAAAAAGGATTAGATGCAGAATTTCAGTTAAAGCAATGTGCAGTAGACCTTCACAAGCACACAGACTTGTATTTTAAGTACTAATGTTAATACATAGAAATCATCTATACACACGCCATCAGATGGAATTTTTAATTCCATGTATACGAAGAAACACATAATAAGTACTAGTACAGCAATCATCGGAGCATACCTCTGTTAAGTGTTTGCCATAATTTTCTTACCATATTTGGTTTTCCTATTTGTTGAAGGAAAAGGGCAATATAATTACCTTAACTGGGTTTTCCTTTTTGTAGAAGGAAATTATAATTCTCCTATACTTGGCTAGTCCTTTTTCTTGTAGGAAAAGGTTTGGACTTCTATAAATTGAGGATCTTTCCTTCTCATTCAGTAGCATCTACAATGTAGCCATAGGGGGCTTGAGAGTCGTGTTTAGGGGGAGAACTTTACGGGACAAGTGTTAGTGTGTCACTTGTGTTTGCCTCTTCGTGAGGTTGTTCTCTCGATATTTTGTACTCTCTTTTTATATAGTGGATTGCTCATCTCCGCGGTGGACATAGGTCAGTTGACCGAACCACGTTAAATGTTTGTGTCTCTTTTGGTAGATTTCTCTTTTGTTGTATGATTTATCGTCGCTCAAGGTTTGCTTTGCTAGCTTCCGCATGACACCTGATTTTTCGGTCCTAACAAGTGGTATCAGAGCGAGGTTCAAAACAGGTTCATCTTGGCAGGTTCAGTTCTAGCCGCAACATATTTGACGATAATCATGATTTTTGTTTGAGAAATTTGACCGGTGTGCTACGCACGTTGAGACAAACTTTGTTGTGGAGATTTGGAGATGCGACCTGTTGAAGGCTATGTGAAGAAAGTGGATCAAGTTTATTTTGTCAGAAAATTCAGGCCAAGGGGGAGAATTGTTAAGTGTTTGCCATAATTTTCTTACCATATTTGGTTTTCCTATTTGTTGAAGGAAAAGGGCAATATAATTACCTTAACTGGGTTTTCCTTTTTGTAGAAGGAAATTATAATTCTCCTATACTTGGCTAGTCCCTTTTCTTGTAGGAAAAGGTTTGAACTTCTATAAATTGAGGATCTTTCCTTCTCATTCAGTAGCATCCACAATGTAGCCATAGGGGGCTTGAGAGTCGTGTTTAGGGGGAGAACTTTACGGGACAAGTGTTAGTCTGTCACTTGTGTTTGCCTCTTCGTGAGGTTGTTCTCTCGATATTTTGTACTTTCTTTTTATATAGTGGATTGCTCATCTCCGCGGTGGACATAGGTCAGTTGACCGAACCACGTTAAATGTTTGTGTCTCTTTTGGTAGATTTCTCTTTTGTTGTATGATTTATCGTCGCTCAAGGTTTGCTTTGCTAGCTTCCGCATGACACCTGATTTTTCGATCCTAACAACCTCCCCAGGTTCTATGTCATCCTTGGTTTTCAGAACTAGCATGCAGTACTTCCTGCCAAAGAAATCAACATTCAAATGCAGACTTTCACATCCATTCACAAAATATGTGAAATCCATCATAATCAGGATTATGCTAAAAGACCGTGAGAAAAACATATCAGCACAAAGAGAAGAATTAACTGCTACGTATTTATACCCATTTGATACACATCTTTCAAGGAATTGTGATTCTTTTCCTGTGTTTGCAGCAGAGTTCATTGCTGGTAGCTCTTTTGAATAAATTCTTAATACTTCCTGCCACAATAGACAGTAAACAAGTGAGAACTCTACAAGGAAACAACTCAGTCTAAGCAATTATCAAACTGGGTAAAATGAAAGATAAGCACAGACAACAGAGCAAGAAACACAGCCTTCATTTGCTACATAACACGAACAATTGTCGTGTGTTCTGATTTTGTCAATCACTAGACATAGAAAGGGCAAATTAATCACAACTGTACAGCCTTTACAGATTTCCCTATCACCTTATGTTCATGTTTTTACTTATTAACCAATTCATCTATTGGTTAATGCTCTGCACACAAACATATTGAATCATAAACCAAAATCCACATAGAATGCCAACCACAATTTTCTGGCAGAGATTTGTCGTGTATAGACAGAAACAAGAAGGAAGCTGTGTTCCAAAATATTGGAGCTAATTCTTTTTTTTAACCTTGGTATCGTTGCGAGCACCTCGACTAATTCCACGGGATACCTGCCACATCCCACTAGCAACAGGTATCAGGTAACTCTATCCACCAAGGCTTGGATAGGTGGGAAAAAATCACCTAGTGGTTTTTGACTCCGGTACGATTTGAACCTGAGACCTTATGGTTCTCACCCACTTCATTGACCACAAAATACTGGAGCTAATATTAATCAATAGATCATTTACTTCAGAAGATGTTATCCGCCAGTATTGCATGATGCTGCAAATGAGAAGCCAACCAAATTGTTTTTAAATCTTACCTATCAAACTAACATTTTCATTTTCTCCATTTCGTCAATAAGTTCCAAGCACAGTAGCCAAAATCATGAGAAAACTTTTGTCCAAGATCTAAGCTAAAGCAGCTGCAATATGCAGAACTATACACATGGACTGCAAATAGTCAATTTATGAATAAAAAGAACTTATAAGCCTGACACGAATTAGTTTGGCATTAAAGCGCATTTGATTGAATTGAATACATACACATATACACTACACTCAAAAGTACCTATGTACAAACATAGGGATATATATTACCTGAAGTAAAGACTTGGTTTTTGCATCAACATCTTTTGGATTAATGAGCAGGAAGCCGTAATTACCTAATCAACACAGGCCCACAACCAAATTGATCATTTCACAAATCAAGAAAAAAAATAGATACAACAAACTCAATAAAATGAAACAAAAAAGAGAAAGTTATCCCAAAAAACTCCGTACCATTTTCCTCATACCCACTATTCATAGGGATTTCGCCTTCCTTTGAGCAATTCCCATCATCCACCACTACAAAACACATTAACATTAGCAAACCACTCACTTCAAAATATTATAAGCATTAATTAATATCTCGATAAAGATGGTAACTAACTGTCATGACCCAGTTCCCCAAACTAGTCGTGATGGCGCCTCTCGGGAAGACAAGGCCAGCCAACTAACCAAATTAGATCCCTTCCAAATAATTAAACATAAATGAAAAGCAAAAATACGAATTAATGGCATTAATTAACGAAATTTACAACTCAACGCAGCCCGACCGGGGTGTCACAAGTCACGAGCATCTAGAAGGATTTTTGATACAACTACACGGTCTAAAATACATGGATATAATCTGGAATCAAAAAGGAAGAAAACCAGTGCCGCGAACGCTGGCGGTCACCTTGCTCAGCTATGATAGCAAATCCTCAACCAGCTCAACCCGCTACCGGGTAAATCAATACCTGCATCTGCACGCGAGGTGCAGGGAGTAAAGTGAGTACTCCAACTAAGTGAGTAATAAAGGTAAATAATAACTGAGCAGCAAGAAACCACGTAAAGCAAGTCATCATGCTATACAGTACCGTGTAACCCTGTGAGAAAAACAGTGAAAACGTGAAAATCCTTTAGAAAATATCTTGACTCGGTTCAAAACCTCTTTTAAAAATATCTTTTTCCAACAGTTAAGCAAATGAATGCGAAACAGGTAGTGCAAGTCAGCACAAAAGTCAGCCCCTCGGGCACCGCACTCCATTAACAAATAACACCAGGTATCAGGTACACAGTGCAAGAAATAGCATGGAAGCCAATGAAATGCGAGTGCTGGAATGTCATGACAACTAGTACAAATAGGAACAAATGCATGAGTGCAATGCAATGCATATGACGGTACACTCCGGTACCCGCTGCGGCGTGCAGCCCGATCCATTTAACGTCGACGGCGCTCACTGGGTGTGTACAGACTCCGGAGGGGCTCCTACAGTCCAAGCGCTACGCTACTGCGGCGTGCAGTCCAATCCATACAATACACTACTGCGGCGTGCAGTCCGATCCATATAATACACTACTGCGGCGTGCAGTCCGATCCGTATAACATATGTATACTGCTGCGGCGTGCAGCCCGATCCATGCTCAGTCCGGAAATGCACATGTAACACTGCTACGGCGCGCAGCCCGATCCATGCTCAGTCAAGAAATGCACATAAGCCACTTGGGCAATATTGACATGATAGTCCTCAGCTCAAAACGTCAATAAAATATTGTTTAAGTTTTCAAATCTTAGAAAAACGGCTGAGTTTGCAAAACAGTATTAAAACCTTGGACCGAGATCAAAGAATATGCAAAGTAATGCGAAAACAGTGATATCAATCCCCAAAGGATTCACAGAGTTGGCACGAAGCCCAAACATGGCAATCAGCCCAAATTATGATGATAACAAGTAGTTTCAGTCCAATACGCAGTAATAATCAACAACCGGGACGGACCAAGTCGCAATCCCCAACGGTGCTCTACCTCACGCTCATACCCGGTGTGCAAGTCACCTCGATACAGCACTATGATGTGCAAATACGGGGTTTCAAACCCTCAGGATATCATTTACAAGTATTACTCACCTCGAACCGGTGAAATCTCTAGCCCGCGACGCCTTTGCCCCTCAAACCGGCCTCCACGCGCGTCGAATCTAACCAAAATCAGAGCGAATACATCACAATATGCTAAGGAAATAATACCCAATCGAAAACAATCGAGAAATAGCAAAAATCTCGAAACTAGCAAAACCCGAGCCCCGGGCCCGCTTCTCAAAAAATTACAAAACTCACATCACCGGACTCCTCGTCTCGCCACGAGTCTATACATATCAAATTCACAAGAATCGGAGTCCATTTGACCCATCAAACCTCTAGTTTAAACTCTCTTAAGTTTCAAGCCCTAACCTCGATTTTTAACCTTTAATTCCTTGGATTTTCAGTGTTAATCCATGATTTTACACCATAATAATATATTCTAAGTCCAAGAATCCATACCTGAAGAAAGCCCTCGAAACCCTCTTCAAAATCGCCCAAAAACCCTCTTAGTCCGAAGTCCAAAATGTTGTTCTTTCAAAAATTCGCGAAGAAGACCATTTCATTTAACTGCCCAGGCGATACGCTTCTGCGGCAAAATTGTCGCTTCTGCGACTACCACATCTGCGGTCCACGTCCGCTTCTGCGGTCCTTCACTTAAGGCCTTGACCGCTTCTGCGGCCTAATTATCGCATCAGCGGGACCGCTTCAGCGATCCAGACTTCCGCTTTTGCGGAACCTGCTCCAATCCAACCTTCCGCTTCAGCGCCTTCCCTTCCGCTTCCGTGAGACCGCACCTGCGGTCCCAAAACCGCAGGTGCGAAAACACCAGATACCAGCAACCTTCAGCAACACACAAGTCCAATTTTCTTCCCGTTGGCCATCCGAAACCACCCCGGGGTCCCCGGGACCTCAACCAAAAGTGTCAACCCACACTAAAACATCATACGAACTTGATCCAATCATAAAAAGACATCCAACAACACAAAAGTCACCAATTCTCAACGGATTCAAGCCTAAGTTCAACCAAAACTTCCGAAACTCGCATTCAATCAAAAACCCAACCTAAACACCTCCGAATCAATTGAAATTTTACACACACATCCCAAATCACATATCGAATCTACAGCAACTCTCGGAATTCCATTCCGACCCTCGGATAAAAATCTCACCTATCAACCGGAATTCGCCAAAATACTAACTTCGTCAATTCAAGCCTAATTCTATACCGGACCTCAACCAAAAGCACCAATAACACCTAATACCTTATTCAAACCTGCACCAATCCTTAAAACATATAAAACAACACCGGAAACCCGATTAAACCAAAGATTCAAGCCTAAGAACTTAAGTTCATCCAAAACACTCTTTCGATCCAAAACCTAACCAACACTCATCCGATTGACCTGAAATTTTGGCTTTCGGCATTTCAAGCCTAAATGAGCTACGGGCTCCCAAAATACTCTCCGAACACGCTCCCAACCCCGAAATCACCTAACGGAACCATCGGATTTCCATTTCGAGACCGTCTTTACACTGTTCCGATTACGGATCACTTTCCAACACTGAAGCTCTCATTTAGGGACTAAGTGTCCCAAAACACTCCAAATCCTAACACCGAACGTCCCGGCAAACCAAAATAGCAGAAATGAACTTAGGGGAAGCAATTAATGGGGGAACGGGGCATAAATTCCAAAAAATGACCGGCCGGGTCATTACAAAAGACTAAACCTGCCTTATTGTAAAACAAGTATAGGGAGTCTAATATGGTTTGATACTTCAAAGCATGAATACAAAGAATTTACCTCTTTACTATACGAAATATCTACACTTTACCCTCTATCTTCCTTTAGACTCATTCATACCACTTATTGTTAACAAAGCGTATCGTATTTGTCCTTACTTTTAGGGGTGGCTCAAGGGGTAGGCTAGTAAAGCATTTGCTTTAGGCCCCCGAAATTTTGGGACCCCAAAAATAATTTTGAATTTTTTATCTTATTTTTGTTTAGACAATATTGAAGTTTATACAAACTCCTTATAAAAGTAGAAATAAAGACCGTCTATTTTTAACAATAGAAATATTTTAGAATTTGAAATTAAGATACTAAAATCTTCATATTGGTAAATAATTATTTTTTACAATAAGATCCATGGTAACACATTGTAAATACGTGACTAACATCTGAGTAACTTGACTTTTCTTACCAATATAAATATTAGTACTACGTATTATATTTGGTAAGATAACTAAATTACAGACAAAAAGAAAGAAAAAAACTAAAGTAAATATTAATATTACATTTTGTAAGATAATTACAGTATAAACAAAACAAAAAAGAAAAAAAAGCCTCTTTATAAAATTTGGCTTTAGGACACAAATTTTATTGAGACGTCTTTGCTTGCTTTAACAAAGCTCCAACATGAAATGTATGAATGACAAACATATGAATGATCGCAGAGCATAATAGAGCTTATAAGTAACATATTTTGTATTGCGGAGGGAATACATTTCACCCTTTCCCCAATGAAGGAACCATTTACTCAGAATTCCACATATAGAGTATGTTCACAGACGACTCAGGCCCTTTTGATGGACGAACTCAATATATAATAGGCAACACAGAGAAAAAGTTGACAAGTTGTTAGACCTACTTCACCAAAATGATCACTTACTTCATTCGACTATGTCTATATAAATCCAAGGGGTCATTTGGTTTAAACTACTAAGAACAGATCTGTCGAAGAAAGACAATAATCAGTAAGAGATGTCATTTGCAACATCATATAGTTTCAAGTGCTAAAATTCCAACCTACACAAAGGGGTGGCTGGTGGATACACTTTTTCACCAAAATGATCACTTCATCTATGTCTATATAAATCCAAGGGGTCATTTGGTTTAAACTACTAAGAACTGATTTGTCCAAGAAAGACAATATAGAGGTAGAGAGGCTGTTTCCGATAGACCCTCAGCTCAAGGGAGAAGAACACAAGTAACTAATATAATAAACTCCTAGAAGAATACAACTAACTAAAATCAAGATCTTTCATATAATAATCTCAATCCATCTTACACTAGAATGTTATGTGCCCATGAAAGCCTTCCATAAAGACCACAACCTTCAACAATATTAAAAGAATTTCAAATAACAAGATATACTTAGAACGTTGTTTTTAGCCATCATCATATCAACTGAACTCTTGCCTAATATAAGGGAGGTTTTGCCAATTAACCAGTAAGTAGTCCTTCCGTCTTCGGCCATTGCTACAGGATGTGTCAGGAAACTTGTTAAGTAGCTTCATTTATTAAAATCATTCTTTTGTGATCTAATAACTGAAAGAGGCCACCATATTCATTATTAGCCATCTACTAAAGTTTCAAAGAAGACATTTAGTAGTAGGTGTTTTTTGTTTTTGACATAACTAAAGCTCACAATCCAAACAGTTAAAAGAGAAATTTAGAACCAAAAAATACAAAGTCAATAAAGATGGGAATAGGTACATTCGAGTCTCATGTTTATAGATTTCTGCATCGTTATTCCCTGTAACTTATCTTCCTCATATTTGCAGACCCCAACCCAACCCCAAGATCAGATCTTCTTCTTCCACTTAGACGGATACTTCCAAATATTAAATATACAAAAATAGTAAAATAATAATTTATACTTATCAAAAACGGAGAGTAATGACTTCTAATCCCTAAATGACTAAACATAGATATAGAAGGAAGAAATGACTTGTTATTACTATTTTGTTAAAACAACTTTTTAGTTTGTTTTATGGGCGGTGAATTCTTTTGAACATTTTAAATAAGACGACAGCACAGTAAGATATTTTCACTTATTTAAGTTATTTTAGCTCAACAATTTCACATCATATTATACAAAAAAACACATCCTTTCACCACGTAGTAGGGAGGAAATAGGGGAAGAAATTATTAGTTGATTATGATAAAGTTTTCAATAAGTCTTGTATATGAATAAATATTAAAATTTTAGTTTGTAAAAACTTAAGGTTCTGTCAAATATCTTTGCATTCTTGCAGGAATTTCAGGAAACTTTTAGCTTGTTTCAATTTAGAACTAGCAGACCACTGTTTAATGTATTAAAAACCTTCTTATGTTTCGAAAATCTAATCACTTTATGCATATGTATTAAGAATTAAATCAGATTATCAAACAAGATTTCCATTAAGTACTTCTGGTGTTTGATAATTAATGTGTTAAAAGGATATTCAGATAAGATGGAACAACAATCAACAAATAAAGTAGATTTGAGGAGAACCCTGCTAACTGGAATTTTCTAAGGTCAACGCATATTTACAACATAAGACAACCTAAGATCAATGTAACTAGAATTATCTAAATATCAAAACAAAAATGTAAGTATTCTATTAAAGATATTGTTCATATGCTAATACCTTTTCTTATGAAGGTGGTGTTCGGGCCATCTTACAAAGTGAGAATCTACGTAGTTGTTTTGATTTTTACGGGCACTAAACTCGAGGAACTAAGTAAGTTCTTACAAAAAGTGAGATCAAATCACTATTTTGTTCTAAATATCATATTGGTAAAGAAACAACGTTATTTGATACAGTCATGTCAACTGCCAACAACATTATCATTAAGATATGCTCTCATTCTGGTTCTACAATTTGCAACACTGGATAGAATAAGTGATGTTTCGATTTGGAAAAAGTATCACAAAAAATCATCATACGACCTGTATTAGAGGATATTTTCCTTGAGGTTCATTACCAAGATCCAATAATTGCATATAAGGTTGGATATCTTTATAAGGTTCAAATCTAAACTAGGTAATTTCTTCCTATCTGCCTAAGCTTTGGTTGGTAGAGTTACCTGGTACCTGTGTAGATGGGAACTAGTAGGTGCCCCGAAATAGTTGAGGTGCGCGTCAGCTGATCCGGACAACACCATTTTCCAAAAAAAAGGTTTAATACCTTTGTAGTACAGATTACATTGTCAATATCAAAATTTCATCCTTCAAGCCAATGCTAATTGACATTCAAATATAGAGAACTTTTGTTCTGGGACATCATATACCCAAAAAATTCTTCAACATTTTGTTGCCTTACGAAAAAGGTCAAGGCGAGTGCATCCAGAGATGCAACAGGCGTATTAGTAGTTAGCATTTCCCAACTGGCACCATTTATTAGATCGCCACAAATTCAAAGGGGCATTATATCAACCAGGTAAAAGACATAGGAGAAAGGCTAGAGATTTTCCTCGCTTGCTAGAGAAAATAACCAATTAATACACCTAAATTTCATATGAATGTAGATATCTTTATAATGCAAACTGCAGTGTCAATCTCATTTTTGCATCCTCCAATTACAGTCTAATCATGTCTAGCATAGAAAAACTTGCTTAATCATACATATAAACCCATAAAGTTGTCAATTTCATAGCTACACATAGTTCAGAGAAGGCAAAAAATTGTCTTAAAACCGACATCATTTATCGGATTGCTGTAATTTCAAAGGGGCATTCTATCAAACAGGTAAATGAAATAGGAGAAAGGCCACACTATGCACGGCATCTGTGCTCCTCCTCCTCACATGACCAAACCACCTAAGCTGCGTTTCCCGCATCTTGTCCTCAATAGATGCCACATCCAGTTTATCGCGAATAACCTCATTTCTGATCATATTTAACCTGGTTTCCATCTCAACATCCTCATCTCTGCTTTTATATGACTTTTTGATACTGTACCTTCTTGCTTATATTTTCATTAATGTGGTACTTATACTATCCTGAGCCGAGGGTCTATTGGAAACAGCCTATCTATACTCACAAGGTAGATGTAAGGTCTGCGTACACACTACCCTCCACAGACCCTATGGTGTTGTTGTTGTTGCATGCACCTCTGCTAAGTAAACATATCAGATAAAACAACTAAATCTCCTAATACTAATGTTATTTGAAGCATGACACAACAAGTAAACAAACAAGCTGCCGCATAAGCACCAAAATTTTCACTTAATATGTCTCAATTCCAAACTAGTTAAGTCAGTTATATACAAAGGTGGATAGTACTTATATACTATGGGTTTAACTGAACTCACTATTTTCAACACAAATGTAGATATATAGTAAAAAAATCAATAAAATTTTAACAAATATTAAATTCTGAACCCATAATTACAAGTAATTAAGTGTTAAGCACCTTAAAGGTTGGATTCGTCAAGTTTAAATTCTCGATCCGCCTATGAGCCTATATAAATGCTTCAATATTCATCTGCTCCATTTAGGCCCATGTAATTTCACTCCAATACAACTTTTTTTTTGTTTTGGACAAATTAGAGTTTTCTAAATGTAAAGAGAAAATGGGAAGGGGGAGTTACCAGTTCAGGTTTGAAAAAGTTGTGAACAACGGAGGCATCAGCAAGGAGGGAAACAACGACAATAGCAGTAGACCAAGCCATTGATGGAGTTCCTGTTGGTTGCTTTCCTCCTCCGAATCTTCGATTCATTTTTTTTTTGCCTTTATTTATCAAGTATTCCTGTTAAAGAAGACGATGAAGATAAAGGTAGGAGAAAAACAAATATGGAGAGTGGCAAATATGAAGTGGAACTAAGAAGACGAAGACTTAAGCAAACGTTTCTACCACAATCAATTGACTGATACTCATACTCTCACCAAGCAATGGACGGAGTTGAGTGTTCAAGAAATGACACCAAGTAGCTACGCTAAGGGCTAGTATTTAAAAATTAACTTTTATTTAAGAATTAGCCAATTCAATTTCAATTTTACATTTCAAATTTCCAGGATAAAAATGTCTTTATGCTCAAATAAATACTGCTATTCCTAAAAATAATTATTTGTGTAATTTCCCCTCGTCTTGGGTGTTGAAGCGAAGTCTGAAGCCCAACACAACTCTGTAAGCCTATTTAGCCCATTATATTAGTATCATTTTGCACTCGGGCTTGTCCATTATTATGCTTCAGATACTTATTGCCGGTATATTTGATGAAAAAATAACACAACTAATATTTCTATCACTATTGATTTTCTGATTTCAGTAACGGAAAAATTCAAATAGGTGCTAAAATTTTAAAGCAAGTAGCATTTATGATGATCGTCAAAATTTTGGTATAAAATCTTGACAAATCACAATTTTTTTAACATTGTGGCTGAAGTTCTAGTGATGACCAAATTTTTGTGGTAAAATCTTAACAATCATCATAATTGCTGCGTGCTTTCGAATTTTACCCAAAAATGCTTCAAAATTCTAGTGATCGAGAAAAATACTGTCCAACGTGCTTTAAAAATCTAGCACGAAGCTATTTTCTCGAAATATTTGTTAACGGGATTCAAAATAGAAATAGTGGTTTAAATAAGATCCATCCAACGTTATTTTTGGATATTTTGTTGACAGGGTAGTTCAACGAATCAACATATAAAAAGGGAGAGATCTTTGCAAATATGTTAAGGCGATTCATTATTTTTTTCAGAAATAAAGAGTATTGTGTTTAGTACGAAGGAAAATAATTTCTCGAAAAATATATTATATTTTTTTTAATGAAATAACAAATTTTCATACTTACTTTTCATTAATTGTTTGGGTGGTGAATGGAAATGATTTTGTAGAAGAATTTTTTCGAGAACTACCGTAGATGATTTGAGATGATTCCTCGGCATCACTTCTCTTTATGCAATGGTTAAACATATGAGGGGTCGTTTGATACATTGGTGGAATATTTTATGATATTAGTTATCTCGCCTTTTATATGAAATAACTAATTCTACTATTTTAGTGTGAAAGTTATCCCGAGATTAGCTAATACCCAAAATCAAACACGAGATAAAATTAATTTAAATTTTATCTCGAAATTATTATTCTTATCCCATGTAACAAACGACCCTACGTGGATTAATATAGTTGGCATGAAGCACCTGATAAAAATTAGACTCAGAAAATCATTTATGGTGAGTCTCTAGGCAGGGCGTATTTACCTTTCTTCAAGCGTTGTCCCGTGATATCGCTTGATTTTTTTATTAGAAATATATATATAAATAATAAGCAAAACAAAATATAATAATTATCTATACTATATTAAAAACACGAACGCCCTTAGCGAAATGTCTTTCACTTTTTTACCCTTTAAAAATATTTTTTATTGGATAAAATTGTAATTAAATTATTTTTCTAATATTTAGTATATAAAAATTAATTAACTATTTGACTACGTGAAAAGTCCTAATATTTAGGAATCGTAAGCACACACAATACATGTAACATAGATAGTTACTTGGAAATACTCCAAATATCTTTGGGTGGGTGGAAGATTTAGTCACATTTAGAATACTACACCTCCTTTTTTTCGTAATTACCTTTAAACTAAAAATTTCACTGAAGAAGAATGTTGCCTTTGCATCATCTTTAAGCAAGTTTAAGCAAGTATCTTTCTTATGAAGATGCTTTAATCCCCACATCAGATATAGGTTTAGAATTGATACGCATACACAAAATTATGAAAGCAAGAAGTCAATAGAATTAGTTGTTGATGAATTTTTACTCTTTAAAAATAGATTTTATATTAGACATTGTCATTAAGACTATTTTTTTCCTAATATTAAGTCTTTGAAATTAATCAATTTTTTACTGAATTCTTCCTTATTAGAAATACTAAGTCCTACGATATATACTTTAAATTATATTATATATTATATAATAATAGTATAATTAATTATTAATCTCAATAATTACCAAAAGAAAATATTAATCTCACTTGTAAAATGAAAAAAATTGACTGTAGAAATTTAACAGACTTATAATTCCACATACTATTTCAATGCTTTTGTCACGACCCGAATTTTCCACCATCGGAAGTCGTGATGGCGCCTACTAGTGGGAGCTAGGCAAGCCAACTCTTACTAATCTCTCCATTTTTACAAATTCTTATTTTAAAATATTTAGCAATAATATTATGATTACAGCGGAATAAATTAATTTAGCGGAAGACTTAGTAAATGTTACTAGATGCGATACAGAAATCCAAACATAAATCACTACCCAAGAACTGGTGTCACAATACTCACGAACTTCTAAGAATACTAAACACAATCGTTTGAAAGAAAAATAAAACTGTTTGTCTCGAATACATGAGATAACAGACTAAAAATGAAGACAGAGAAGACGTCGGGCCTGCGGACGCTTGCAAGGCTACCTCGGTATCTCGCTGATCGAAATGATAACACTCGCACTACCGCTGTTGCTGTTGTCCGAAACCTGTATCTGCGCAAAAAGAGCGCAGAGTGTAGCATCAGCACAACCGACCCCATGTGCTGGTAAGTGTCTAGCCTACCCCGGCGAAGTAGTAATGAGGCTAGAACCAGACACTCACATAAACCTGTACAGTTATATATAATATGCAGCGGATAATGAACAGAAATAAATAAGTAATAATGGGAAGGGATAAATATATCACAGAAGTAATACCATTATAAACAATAATTCTGTAGTAACAATCTAAGGTAGCTTAACATTTTTACGGCGAATGAGGAAATAATTATCCACATTATCACAATATCATCAATTGTTGCGGCGTGCAATCCGATCCAAAATATAACAACACTGTTGTGGTGTGCAACCCGATCCATATCATTTAACATTTAACATTTAACATCTGTTGTGGCGTGCAACCCGATCCTCATATATTATTTAGTCATGCCGCGGCGTGCAATCCGATCCATATCATTTAGCATTTAACATTTATTGCGGCGTGCAACCCGATCCTCAAATATTATTTAGTTATATTTACTCACCCAAATATAATCTCAATTTACGGGGTGAGTGGATGAACTGGAAATATTAATAGGCCCCAATAAGGACTCAATATCGTACAATAAAATCTCCATTCAAGGAATATATAAATCTCGCCAATTCTATAAATATCTGGCAAGGATATAATTCAATAATTCTCCCTCTTCCTTCCATTTCTTAATTTCATTTCATCTCATAACTTGAGCCAATGCTCTTCGATTACTAAATACCACAATTTCTTTCACATGCTTTTCACAACATATAATTTCATCATTTAAGCACGGAAGATACGACACCAAATCATAATATTCACAATATAAAGACCCACGGTCATGCTAGACACCAACGTATAGATACTCGTCATCATGCCTATACGTCGTACTTGACAATTAACAATTAGCAAATACGACTCAACTCCTATTCCCTCAAGCTAAGGTAGACCAAACACTTACCTCGGAGTTCTATGGCCAATTCAATCCTCAAGCAACGCTTTTCCTTTCGAACTTGGCTTCAATTCAATCGTATCTGTACACAATTGATTTAATATCATCAATAATGCTTAACAAACTAATCCAAATGGCTAAATATATTTTCTAAAACATTCTGCCCAAAAATGTAAAAATCGATCCCGGGCCCACGTGGTCAAAATACGAGGTTCGGACCAAATTCCGATAACCATTCACTCACGAGCCCGAATATATAATTTGTCCTCAAGTTCGACCCCAAAACAAGGTCTAGATCGCATAATCTTTGAAAACCCTAACTCTACCCATTTCTCTAATTTTCTACCTATTTTCACATGTTTAGGCCTAGGAAATTAATTGATATTGATGCAAAATGAAGAAAATGAGTAAAACAATACTTACCTCAGAAGTTTTGGTGAAGAAGAGCTCTAATGGACGCCTATGGAGCTGTGGAGAAGATGGGTTCGAGAAAATGGGATTTTTATCCCGTTCTGTTCTGTTTTCAGAACTTAAATTCACGGAAAAATTCATTTTCAGAAAATAATTTCACGGAAAAATTCATTTCTCAGTCCTGGGACCTCGGAATTCGATTTCGGGCATACGCCCAAGTCCCATATTTTTCTACGGACCTTCCGAGACCGCCAAATCACGGGTCCGGGTCCGTTTACCAAAAACGTTGACCAAAGTCAACTTTAATCATATTTATATCAAAATTCTTCAAATTTTTCACATAATTCTTATATTTTAACATAAAAACTTTCCGGCTTCGCGCCCAGACTGCGCACGCAAATCGAGGCAACTAAAAGTGAGGTTTTCAAGGCCTTGGAAGCACGGAATGACTAAGAAAACAAGTGATGACCCTTTGGGTCGTCACATTCTCCACCTCTAAAACAACCGTTCGTCCTCGAACAGACAAAAGAGAGAAGTACCTGAGCCAGGGAATAGATGAGGATAACGGCTCCGTATATCAGACTCGGACTCCCAGGTCGATGCCTCAGGAGGAAGACCTCTCCACTGAACACGCATTGATGGAAAACTCTTCGACCTCAACTGTCGAACCTGCCGGTCTAAAATAGCCACCGGCTCCTCCTCATAAGATAGATCCTTGTCCAATTGGACAGTGCTGAAGTCTAACACGTGCGATGGATCTCTGTGGTACTTCCGGAGCATAGATACATGAAACACTGGATGCACAGCTGACAAGCTAGGTGGCAAGGCAAGTTTATAAGCCACATTTCCCACACGATCAAGAATCTCAAATGGGCCAATAAACCTAGGGCTAAGTTTGCCCTTCTTCCCAAATCTCATCACGCCTTTCATAGGCGACACTCGGAGCAATACCTGCTCACCAACCATGAAAGCTATATCTCGAACCTTATGATCTGCATAGCTCTTTTGCCTGGACTGGGCTGTACGAAGCCTATCCTGAATGATCTTGACCTTGT